ATGTGTAAGGGGAACCTTTACTTTTACTTTATAATAATTTATTAAATTCATATGTCATAACTTTGGCATAATGAGATTTATTCTTCTTCCTCTCAAGAGCATCTAAACATTTTCAAAATTTATTTTGGAAAGATGAAGACAGGAAAGCAGATTTTCAGGGCACAAAAGTGAGTTTAGGAAATGTGTGCTTGCTGGTTTTGCCAGCATAATTCCAATCTTATTGGATTTAAATCCTGTAGCACAAGGCAGAATACAGTATGTAATGAAATTCCTTATTTTTAGGAAAAGATAGAACCATGCAAATTGCTAGATCCCTTTGAAGATATGTATTGGGAAAAATTATCCCTATACCTGCTTCTGAACAATTTCATTTCTGCTTCCTGTAACCAGAACTTGCATATGGTAATCTCAGCTGCTTACATTAGGCAATTTCTGATTCAATTACGTGTACAGAAGCCTTGAAGTTAAATAGAGTCCCATATCTGATTCTAAGACCTGGCAAAGGGAATAAAACAAATAATCTATGCCAATAAGCAGGGGAAAAAAATACTGAAGTTTTTAGATTAATAAAAAGAGGAGAAAGAGAGAGACAAAAGCACAAAATGATTTTGGGTCGCATTTCATGTTAGAAAATATTTTTAATTTATTTAATATCATAATTCCCTACTCTGTTATTATATTGTATATTTTCTAAAAAAATGCAGACAGATTATTGCATAATTACTTTCAAATTAGCCCAGAAAAATTTGCTAACTTCAGATACAGTATGAATGAAGGGTGTATTAATGCTGAACATTAGTTTTCAGGAAAGATTTATGCCAAAGATTTGTGTGTGTGTGAAAAGCAGCACCCATTTCATTATGTTTGTTTGATTTTCTCAAAGACAGAACAATGTTGACAGGGGAAAAGATAAGCTGGAAACATTTTGTGGGTGTGTTTTTGTAGGGTGACTAGTTCCCCTGTATCACAGGATGTGCAAACTATTTTGCATAATTCTAGAGGTTTTGTAGAACAGGGGTCGCCAACCTTTTGGACTTCAGGGACCACCAAACTCATAATTTTAAATCCCGGGGACCACTAATATGCATTTCGACTGATGATGGCTTGCTGACAGTGATGGGAGAGACAGAGAGATCTGATCTAACCTCTCTCTCTCTCATACACACACAAACACAAACATACAGAGGCAGGGATGGGATTCAAATTTCTTAACAACCAGTTCTTGGGCATGGCCTAATTTGTGCGTGTGGCTTGGTGGTCATGTGACTGGCTGGGTATGGCTTGTATGTAAATATTATAAATATTTATGTAAATATTGAATTTTTTATTTTAAACAAGCAACTTTTACTCAAAATCAGGCAAAGCAGGCAGGCAGATTAAGTTGCTCACAGAACCACAGATTCACTTAGAGATCTGTGTTTCAGCCATCGGCTATCTGAGTCTGCAACTGAATAATAGAACCTTCAGTCCTAAGGGAGGTTCGGCTCTGCTTAAAAGTAGAGCCGAAGATCTAAAGATTAGGTAGAAAGCAAAAAATCCAATGATTTCCCGCTTTCTAGTTAATCTAAATCTCCCGCACACAGAACAACTGATGGTCGGAAAAAGGAAAAATAGCAATTTAGCAGGCAAGTTTGCCAGGTAAGGAGTGAGTGGGAGGGGAGGGTTCCCACGGGCCATGTGGGTGGCGCAGCCTTGTGTTCCCATGAAGCCTGGATTAATTGCTTTGGGGGCTGCTCTGGTTGTGACATTTCTCTGCGGACCACCAAATTTTTCTCACGCACCAACAGTGGGCGGCGGCCCACCAGTTGGTGACTATTGTTGTAGAACATAGCTAATACAGAATATTATAAATACCACTGAAATAGCGTATTTATGTGTCCACAGAGTTCCACTGAAGTTGTGGACAGTATTGTGTCCATGAAAAAAACAAATGATAAAAATTAGGAATTATATTATACTCACAATGCAAAATACTGTATTTTAGTTTCTGAGACAGTTCAAGCATATACAGCAGATACATAATAAAGCTCAGGAATTTTTTATCATCTAAAAGAAGCATCATGAAAAGATGAAATTCTGTTCATATTTCAACACCCACTTAGTGCATTCTGCTGTGTTCACTTTTGAAAGACACACATAAGAGTATGTGTAAACACACACACACACACAATGAATACATTATTTGCTACAATTTACAATATATATAGATATATATACATATACAGGTGTGTGTGTTTCAATTTTATAAAAATACCGGAAAAAAAAGTTTAATTCCTTGCACTCAGATACTGAGCATTAACCCTTTGAGTACTTCACCCCCACCTGCAAATTCTGCAGAACATATTCATCTGACCCACATTTTTATAGTATCCCACTAAAAATCATTTATGTACAGTGTGATGAAAAAGAGTCATAGGGAACATAAATGGATTTAGAATGTGCTGATAATAATACAGATAATGAACCGAGCTCTATTAAGATTGTCGGGAGAAGAAGCCCACTGATGTGAAGCAAGAGGTTTTTTTTTCTCCAAGAAACAAACTGTTAAGGTTAATGGAACGTGTGACATCTTTATCAATTGACTTGTAATGTCCACATAATACTGATTGTTTCAAGAATATCTGCAAAGAGGTGGTTTAAAAAAATATCCAGATGGGGGCACAGCTGTGTGATCAAAGCTGGTCCCGTTTTTTACAACACATGTAAAAAGGAGGCAGGGCTTCAGTTGGGTGGCTGGTGGCCACCATCTTGATTTTATTTATTCCTTCCCTGACTTTTTTCTTTAAGTGTGGAATGACTGATTATTTTTCATCACCGCTCCTCCTCACCACACCTTGAGTTGTTCGGTTCTCTTCATTTTAAATCACCAGTTTAAAGCTGCACTTTAATTTTATTTTATATCTTAAACAGCAACTATACAGTAATTATCTTATTCATGTTTATTAGTGCAATGTGTTCAGATATTCATAGAGAGATTCCCCCCGCCTAAAAAAAATAATAAAAACAAAACTTTTTTTGCTGAAAGTTCATGAACAGAGAGTAATGTTGGCCCTCAAGGTTACTAGATCTGAACAGAATAAATCAGTGAAGGGTCAAATATGTATGGAAATATAAAGGCAATCCCATTTTTGTTTTAGCAATGGATTAAAAAGGCGTGATTTCATCCCAAAATACAGTATAATTTAAACATCTGCTCTTAAAGTGATATTTCGTTACAGTAAAGTCCTATATGTATTTCCTTAGCAATATGAGGGCCAGGGGTTTGCTCAGAATGGCCATCAAGATCACCAAGCTTTTACTAGCTACTCCTGGACTAGACTGCTATGATGACGACGATCGTCGCATAACAATGCACGTATAAGTCCTCCCTCCAACTTGGAAGCATTGTCAGGAAATAATCCAATCAAAGTTAAGCACTTTGTGTTTCAGTGTTGTAAAAAAAATGCAAGCCAGTACTCAGGTTCTGTCTGTCTCACTGACCTCAATGCATTTTCAAAGTGCTTGGCTCGGGCTGCTGATGTCCTACTTTATTTCTTGAGCGAATAATTGCAGTCCTCAAAGAGTTAATGGGAAAGCACTACTTTGCCTAGGACTGATGATGATAGGGCTACTGGCAAGTTAATTCCCAAAGGCTAATGGACGAAAGAGTGAGACTGGCGGAGAGACGGCTACTAGAGAGACATACACAGTGCCACATTCAATGGGACATGCTTTGCAGAGACATTAGAGTGCACCCTTATCAAAGCAATCTTTTAACCTCATAGAAAGGATTGTGCCACTTAAAGGAGCGCAGAAAGTATTTTCCCCCCCCCCTTTTTTTCTTTTCGTAGAGTCAAAATGCTCTAGATTAATACCAACATGGATAGTCACAGCCTTTTACAATAGGGTTTTTTTCCCCTTTGTACATATGCAACATTAGAAAACAACAAATGGCATTATCCTGACATATGTCATGCAGAAATTAAAAATATTATTATTAATAACAATAATCTTAACAACAACAAAAAAAAATACAACCAGTACAGCACTGTAGATGTTAACATAGGACTTTACCTAGTGTTTTTCTTCCAAAGAGAAAGAAGACAGAACAGTGACATACATTACATGGTTTTACACGCCATAGGCTACAGAAGATCTTTTAGAGGCAGTATCATTTTTATAGGCCTAAAAAGCTGTGGTAGGCTGGTTATAAAATCCTTTTTTCCCCGAAAAATTAATAGAAGACATTTTTGTTGCAAAAATAATCAAGGAAAGGCTGTGATGCTGATATGTGTAGAAAAGTATCTGATGCCAATACAGATTTAAATATGAATAAATAAAAGGAAAACAATACCACATTACATGATACAGGTAGTCCTTGACTTATGACCTTTTGTTTAACAACGGTTCAAAGTTAAGTGGCCTGGAAAAAGTAACTTGCATTGACTTTTGCATTACCCTTGGGCCATGTGACCACCATCTGAATACCTGGCAACTAACTCACATTTATGATCAGTGGCCACATCAGGGGTGGGTTTCTACAGGTTCACAACTGTTCACTAGAACCGGTTGTTAACATTCTAAGCAGTTCAGAGAACTGGTTGTTAGAAGAAATTACTGGCCTAATCCTGTAAGGAAGGCAGGAAGGAAACATTCTGGTGTTGCTTACAGAAACTGCCTCTCCGTTAACCCTTATTACATTCTTGTCAGAATTAGACTTCCTGTCTCTGGAACTTCTCTGGAGTTTTTTTTACCTCCTTTGCTGGTACTTTGCTTGTGTGGAGTGACCATTCAAAGTTACAATGGCACTGAAAAAGTGACTTATGACAGTTTTTCACACTTACAACTGTTGCAGCATCCCCACAGTCATGAGAGGCTAGGCGAGGAGATGCGTGCCTCAATGTGAGTGATGTTGAGTTGGCCACGCCCAGCCAGTCACATGGCCACCAAGCCATGACCACCAGCTAAGCCACACCCACAGAACCAGTTGTTAAAAAAGTTGAATCCCACCCCTGGGCCACATCCTATTGTTATGTGATTTTGGGCCAAAAAAGAGAGGCCCATTTGAGAAGCTAGATTGTTTAGTAACCATGTGATTTACTTAACAATTGCAGTGATTCACAATGACCACCATAAAAATTGTTGTAAAATTGGCTCCGGCTCTACTTATGATTGCAACAATGCATGACAGAAATAATCCCAATGTCAATTGTGGTCATAACTCAAGGACTACCTGTAGTAACAAACACCTCACAGTCTGTTTCCTAGGTTTTTGTTTTCATTCTCCATTGAATGTCACTCTGTCATTTTTAAAAAAATAATTTCGAGACTGCCCTGCTTTTTAAAAGCCTTTTCTTATTAAGAAAAAAAAAGGTTGAAAACCTGTAGTTATCTCATGTGCCACACCAACACGTAGAATCTTATTAGGTTTAGAAGGAAAATGAAGACCAACAGTACAAACCTACCTAGGTCTACTCAGAAGTAAGTCCAGCAGATTTAATTGGGCTTACTCCCAAATTGCTGTATATAGGTTTGCAGTCTATGATGCTTTGAGCTGCAAGTCGAGAAATGTGGCTTACTAACTACACAGTAGTTTCATTCTTCCACGGCCCTGTTTTGATATTTCCTGTAATATCTGAACTGTAGATCATGGCTTCATGCAAGTTTCCCTTTAGGATTCCATTGTGGCTGGTTGTGCTAAATGGCAAGGATTGTGTCCGTGGATGCATTTCGAAATGAGAGCCTGTCTCAGGTTCTGGGACTTTAGCACAACTGTAGATCACAGTACTTGCATCACTACTTTCAGGCTGAGTGATGGTTGGATAGGGACTGTTTTTTGCACAACACGGCCGCCTATGGCCTGAGTGACTGTCATGTGTACTATGCGGACTGTCTGTATGTGAGCTGTGTATGCTGCCATCAATACTTGAAGGAATGTGGTAAGCATACTCCCTTTCTCCAGTAGACCGATGTCGGCTAAAATACCGTGGTTTAGTTCTACTTTTCAAACATCTGTGGATGTGCATGTTGGGTCTGAAAGTCCCTTCATTGTGGACATGAATATGAGCTTCATCTTCCAGGAGCTGGTCACAATGCATTTTTGCACAACACGGAGTGACCGGCGAAAGGCAGTTGACATGGTTTTGAACAGCCTGTAGATTAGTGAGTTTGCAGTGACTAACGGCCGGGTGATTAAACATGGCAGATTTACTTGGGCATGGTGATTCTTGAAGGCATGAGGCATGAGCTTGGCTTTCACCGTTGACATTAACTTTTGGACGGACATTAACCTGCACTGAGTAGGTGTTCCTGCGAGAAGGGCAACAGGACCACCAGCAATGCCACACATCATCTCGCTTTGCACAATGATGGATGAGGATGAAGAGCCCTAAGGTTACACAAAATGCTCCGTATAGGCAACTAAATATCATATCCAAGAAATGTCCTTGAGAAACAGCTAGGGCGCCAAAAGTCCAGGTGGCAGTAAAGAGAAACAAAGTGAACGCAGCAGCTCGAAGCTGAGCCTTGAAGGAGTGCTCGTTTTCTAACAAGGATGAAGACATCATTGAACAGGTTGCCTGGGAAACTGATCCAATGTCTGTCATGTGACTATGGCCAAGTTCAGGACTTGCCAACCTCTGCTGATCTTCAATCCTTTCTTTTAATTCATACTTGCGTTCTGGGTGACGCCTCAATTGCACATAGGTGCAGAGGAAGTAAATGCATGTTACCAGAACAATAAATGCAAGCGGTCCATAAAATGCACCAAGACTTGGCTCCCATGACATCCAACAACTGCATACAAGGATAGGGTGGAATAGAGTTTTTTTTTTAAAAAAAGAAAAGAAATCCAATTAATAATATTGAAGACAGACTAAATAAATACATTTGCAATAAACAAACTAAATAAATACATTTACAATAAACGGTAAATTGTTTAGAAAAAATATGTCCTCTACAAAAATGGGACTTACATATGCTTAGTAAAGGTAATTTTACAGGTAGACCTCGAGTTACAATCATTCATTTAGCAACATCATTGAAAAAAGTGACTTATAACCAATCCTTGTACTTTACAATTGTTGTAGCATCTTCACGGTCACATGATCAAAATTTAGGCACTTGGAACTAGCCTGTATTTACAACAATTGCAATGTCCTGGATTTCACATGATCGCCATTTGTGACCTTCCAAATGGG